CTGTCCTGAGGGATCGTCGACCTGAAATTTATCTAGGGATTGGATAAGTGCATACTGCCAATGTGTTTTAACGCAAGTGCTCTCGATGTGGTGTACAAATATTGTATTGCGGTTTCCTCTGAGCCTCCCTTAACGTATGCATGTTGTTTACATTTGAGCATATCGTTTGATATCTTGTTTTTAATAATGGTGTTGATTGTATTTTCCATGGTTTTAAGTAAGAACGATGTTATCCTCGCCTCATGTCAGGTTTTGGGGTATACACAAATTTGCTGTTCCTACTATTTTGTTGTATTCTTTGAGTTTATTATGGTAGCTGTCCCAGAATATACAATTTTTTTACGTCGACCTTCAAGTTCTGAATCTCGTTTATAAGATATTCTGAATATAAAGTAATGTCTAACACCCCCTTCCTGATTTTATTTGAAAAGGTTGTTTAATTAAGACTTAATAGATTGTCAGCATTTAGATAATCTAATATGTCTTGGCCCCCTTTAGGCTACCTATTTGTGCTTCGTAACCTGTTTGTTTTGTTTTTCTCACCAACCGCTAAAGTTCTGCCGTAGATGTTAGTGTCGGCAAGTCACAAAAATGCGATGGTTTGTATGATTCCTAACAACCAAGCGAGGAATTCCGGAAAGATAGAGATTAGACAGATTACGGGGTTTGGACTTCTTGTCCCGGAATTTCCACGTACGAAAGTCGTCTACACACATAGTTGATTATTTAACGTTCTAGACATGGCGGGCGTAGTTCTCTTTACATCCTCAAACAGTGTGGTGTGGTTGTCGTATCAAATGCCTTTGATAGGTCATAGGCTACCAACACTGTTCTATGATACGGCTTGTTCTGGTTTAATCCTTGACTGATATGTGTGGATATGGCGTTCAATGTTGTTGTGTGGTGCTGTATTGTGGACTTAATTTGTGTTGATGGCTGGCAACCGGATAGCTTTCTTTAATGGAATAGTAAAGCCTGAGTATTGAGTACCTTACTCAACTCCCGGCGTATTCAGTTGTCTCAATATCTCCATTATGACTTGACATGACATTTTTTTTTATTGTTTACGGCATTTATACTGTAATTGTTGATGGCATCTGTGACTGCATCAGTAAGAATGTTACTCATACCTGCCTGATAGGCTGTTTGATCTAGAGACTCTCTCTTATAGCGTTGGACAACTCTAGATCGCGTAGGTCCATCAAAAACACACCTGGATGCGAGAATATTAACCACTATATGATATATTTTGGGTGACTCCCAACGCAACACAAGCATATCGTTATGCTGACATACTGCATGTATGTAGATGGTCCTTTGGTATCATGAGGAGGCAGTTCTCCGCGTAGCGTTCTTTCAGGTCTGTATATCTTTACACTGCGATTTCAATGCCGTCTGGAACACCTGGAATCTCGGTAATGTAAGTGTAAAACAGTTCCGGAGATATCACCCCTCCTTGGGGAACTCCTTGTTTTACTCTACTGGGATTGGACTTCTTGTTCCGAAATTCTACACGACTGGCGCCCAGTGTTGTTATGTTTTTAGTCCTCGACTAATATGGATATGGCGGGCAGTACTGTTGTGGACGGAATCCGTATTTTGCAACTGGATAGCATCCTGTAATGCAAAGGAGGGGTAAAGTCCAAAGAGTCTTCGATACTGGCTACAAAATCGAAATCGGCCGTTACGACTCGCCTCTACCGGCTTCAATAGCGGCCACCGAGCCATTTTCCAGGCTTCGGGAACAATGTGGGTGTATAGCGACAGGATGAGAACTTTTGTCAGGTGCTCTACTCCCGGAGTTGTTTACACATTGCTATTAAGATTTTGCCCGGGTCCAACGCTTTGGATGACTAAGCCCATCGTAAAAATGACTGAATTGCTTTCATTCTTCTTCTCAGGGTTCGAGAGCGATTAAATCGTTGATGTCTCGATCCTTTCGAAGATCCTTTCTGCTATAGCAAAACATCAGAAGAGTTAGGCAGTTCTCTAAAGCGAAGGTTGGTGAACTCTTTGAAGTGCGGCGTTCAGAGATTATCGGGAGATGGTATGACTCAAAGATATCATGTGTTGCTACTTTACGTCAAAATTTAAGAACGGATGATACTATGTTGAATATGGCGTACAATCATAATCTCCTCTTATTCGTGTGGGGGCCTTCTCGTTTACAGTGCAGAATATGGTCATTACCTAGGATGGAAAACCACATATCAAGATGGGCATTAAGATTCCCTCGTACCTGGCCGTTATTGTTGATCAACTGCGGGCAAATAACGCGGTTCCCAGCTATTAATCGGCCGGATCTATACATTAAGTACCTCTACCTCAGCAGTTACACACTTGACTGCTACCGATAAACATTTCATGTATTGGAGATAGATCTGTATTGAACAGAATCGTTGTAACAGGAACGTTAATCCCCCACCTCACTTCTGGTGCGATCCTTCCTCAATACGTTCAATTTCCATTAAGATTCCGCAATTTCCATTAAGATTCCTCCTATTCATAAACTGAGAGTCCGTTAATGCTCATAAACGATGCAAATAGGTTGCTGTTTGGGAAACTGCGTATTGTCACGACGATCAGATGATGATTCTGGTCAGGACGACGAAGACGTTGGCCAGAGTTATGCTGCTTAGAAAGAAAACAATTATCTAACACGGAAATGTATGCAGTGAAGTGGCAGACGCCAGCCGAAACTGTGATGTTGTCTCTGGTCAATCCGTCATTGTTGTTGTTATTGTGGAGGTAGTACATGTGAGAGTTTGCATTCAGCTAATCTGGGTCATGCTCCAGGTTTAAAAATTCGGCTACTTAAACGACTTAAGCCAGAGATCTTCTGGAGTGAGTTGGGTAGGTTTGACTGTGCAATTGTTCGGCCATATCACACGCCGGGCAGTCGTCACGCACATCTTCAATTCGTGCCCAATACGAATTAAGACGACTACACCATCCTGAACGTAATTGCGCCAAAACTACCCTGGTTTGTCTGGGCAGCTGGCGTTCTCCTACTGCAATGGATGGGGGGGGGGCTTCCGCGACTGCATCGGTATGAATGCCACTCAGACCTGCCTGATAGGCTTCTTGATCTAGAGGTTATCTCTTATAATCGTATATGTCCTTCCTGACACGCCAGGTTGGGGGGTGTTGTATCCACATATAATGGCTACACCCAAGCAGGTACTGTAACGAAAGCATATGATTATGCTGACGTAAGGGGGAAGGACTTTTACCTCCTCATGTAGATGGTCTACTGGTGTCATGAGGAGACACCCCGTCGTAGTTCTCAGGGCAGCATTTTGGCAGATCTGGATGTGCTTCCACTGCGTAGCACTAGTATTCGCAGACCACACTGGAGCCACATGGCTGACCACAGATCGTTATTAGAGATCAACAAGGTTTCCTTGTCCGCACCCCAAGTGCTGCCGGCTAGCGCCTGTGGACATTGTTCCTACTTTTCATCTTGTCGCAGATAGCTGCGGCTTGCGCGGACGCCTTAAACATAGTGTCGAATGTGACACCTAGAATCTTGGGGTACTTCGTGGTCGGTATTAAATCCCCCTCCTCGACCTGCACATTCAGCTGTGATCTCCGCAGATCATATGGTAAAGAGTGTGGCCGTTGATTTCGTGACGGATATTTTCATATTCCTCGCGTGGAAGTATGCGGCAAGCTTCGCGAGATATGTCATCGACCACTGGGTCCGACGCCATTATCGTAGAATCATCCGCATACATTACGATCTCCATGCCGTCTGGAGGGCGAGGAATTCCGGAAAGGTCGAAGTTAAACAGTTCCGGAGATATCACCCCACCTTGTGGAACTCCTTGTTTCACTCTACGGGCTTTGGACTTCTTGTTCCGGAATTCCACGTACGACTGACGTCCACACACATAGTTGATTATGCAACGTATCAAACTTGGCCGGAGCAATGTGAAAACAACTCCCTTAGTTGAGCACCTGACAAAAGTTCTAATGCTGTCGCTATCCACCCACATTGTTCCCGAAGCCTGGAAAATGGCTCGCTGGCCGCTATTGAAGCCGGTGAGGCGAGTCGTACAGGCCGATTTCGCTCAATACCCCTTTTTCTAGAAGCAGCACTTATGACAACTTATGATCCTTAAGCATAGCATAACTTTTGACAACGGCTAAAGCTATGTTGGTATATGTTTAACAACAGCGTTTCCTTTACAAAGCGCTTACGTACTTTGCAGAGCGATGTAATTTCACTTATAGGACGAATATTGTCAGCTAAGTATTGTTTGAGTGTTGCGGCACAAAGAACAATGAATTTCAACTCTTCACTATTGATCGATGAAATACACCTAAGTCTGTTTTTACACGGTCTTTTTGTACACGGTTTTGATATAACACGGTTTGAAAATTGAATATTTTTAATTTTTTTTACACAATTTTTTTTCCATTTAGCACGATTTGAAATTTTATGTACTTAAATTTTTTTGTCAAATTTAATTTTTGCGAAGTATGTTCATATCACAAAGAAGTATTTATGAAAGAAAAAAGTCTGAAACCATCGATAGTATCAATAGTTTGCGAACACTAGCTTAAAGATTTAAGTGAATTCCCCTTTAGCGCGTACAAACATTTTTTACTGGTCAAAGCAAATGTGAATAGCACAAGCATTATATATTTGATTTAATAAAATAGACATGAATTCTTGTTCTTAAAAATTCTTGTTTTTCACTAATTTTAATAGGTTTTAGAAATTAGGAACAAATCACCCATTAGGAACAAATCACCCATAAAATCAATGTCTTTTTTACACGGTTTGTTTTTTTACACGGCTTCTTCTGGAACCAATCTACCGTGTAAAAACAGACTTAGGTGTAGCCACCTACTGTTTAACAAATGCATAAGTGTTCATCGGCAGTTTCAGTTTCATTAACCATTATTAAAGTTAGGTTAATTGGTTAATTAATTATATTTCGGCTTTAATTACAAACATAAGTTAATTTCTAAATATTTGATTTTATTTTCAGGAGACTTTGGAACGCCACAAAGACAATCTAAAAAGCAACATTCTAAAGAAACGATCTTTACTTGAACGCAACCTACAATTTCAAATCAAAGACGAGATGTCACAGAAAATTATTTTAAATAATTATGATAATAATGATAACGTTAATAACACACCTTTCATAGAAAACAAGAAGTAATTATTGTCATAATATTACATATTCTACCATTAATTTTTTTTATTTATAGACAAGAGAAGCAGACTTCGCCAAAATCGATCGTAAATAATTCTAACAATGGTCACAACTCCAATACTAAAGGAAAAAAACTAGGTCGAAAAAAAGAAAAACTATATTGCATTTGTCGCACTCCATACGATGATACAAAGTAAGAAATACATTCTAATGAGTTGAATTTAAAAATTGTATCTATTGTATATTTTAGATTTTACGTGGGTTGCGATATATGTAGTAATTGGTTTCACGGTGAATGTGTCCACATTACTGAGGAGGATTCAAAGAGGTTATCGGAATTTATATGCGATGACTGCAAAAAAGCTAGAGACACCCAAGAACTTTACTGTCTGTGTAGGCAACCATATGATGAGTCTCAATTTTACATTTGTTGTGATAAATGCCAGGACTGGTTCCATGGTCGATGTGTTGGTATAGTCCAGAGTGAGGCCGAATTCATTGACGAATATGTCTGCCCAGCATGTCAAAAAAACAATTCAGTAAATATGGCGAATATGAAAAATTTAACAGAACATGAAATTATTGAGCTCAACAAATTAATCAAACATGTTCAGGTGAAACATTAAATATATCATAAGCCTAGTTTGCACAATCTTATATTACTTATTTAAAATATTGTTTTAATTTGTTTTAAACTATACATAGGGTCATAAAAGTGCTTGGCCATTTATGGAACCAGTTGATCCAAAGGAGGCACCCGATTACTACAAAGTTATAAAAGAACCAATGGGTTTGTAAATCGGATCAATGACAATACGTTTATATACTTTTTTTTCAAAATTTTATTTCAGATTTAAAACAAATTGAAGAAAAGCTAAACAAAGGCGCATATAACAAATTATCAGAATTTATTGGTGACATGACAAAAATATTTGATAACTGCCGTTATTACAATCCTAAAGAATCATCATTTTACAAGTGCGCAGAGACATTGGAATCGTATTTTGTCCAAAAGATAAAAAATTTTCGGGAAATTGTAGTTAGTCATCAGTCCTAAATGTATATTTACGCATATTGTTTTCTTTGCTTCAAAAATTACTGGTTTAATGTAATAGCAGTAATATAAATTAATGAGACGTGGTTTATGAAATATTATATATTTTTTGCGAATAGGCGCAATCTATTTAGGAACATCTACATATATTTAGTTTTAAGGAAAATTTTGTACAGACAAATTAAGTTAAATCACCACTATTTGTATGGTTTGTATATATGCATTTCTTAATAATAAAAATTTATTACTTAAGATAGAATACAGAAAAAATATATTTGAAGCAGAATGTTCTTTACCGTCTATAAAGAAATTAAATTGTGTAACCTATGTATAATCATGTGAATAGTATAAATAAGGAAATGTCATTGGATTTGCTTGGATATTTAGAAAAGGGTTTGACATTTGAAAACCATATGACTGTCTTATTGACAGCCGCGTGCTGTGATGCGAACATATTAAAAAAAAAAAACATGCCTCTATCAATGATCGCCAAAAACAAAAACTATTGATTACAACAAACATATTTGCCTATGTTGTTCACATTTACAGACATGTCACAGGAACGAATTGAGAACGATTTTTTTTAAATCCGTATTAAGCTTCTTCAGAAAACAAAAAAAAAAAAAAACAAAATTTCTGTTTCAAACCACATTGGAGTTTGCCAGTGAAATTGTATTTCTTGTAACATTAAAACACATTCAAGTGATAAAAATGTTATTTGTCGATAGGTCAGTCTGTGGGCAGCTATGCGGCCAAGTGCAGTCTGCGAATATAAGTGCTACGCAGTGGAAGAATATCCACTGGGGCCTATACGATATCGTGGACCGATATAGATAATTCTCTTCCTGAGTATAATGTACTCACAAGGTACTCCTTGTGTGGATTTTCAGGCAGTTCCATTAAAAATGTGGTTAAAATCATCGAAATACCGAATATCAGGGGGTACAGTTATATGGGGCCTATACGATATCGTGGACAGATATAGCCCATCTTCGAACTTAACCTGCCTGCAGACAAAAGACAGATCTGTGCAAAAGCGTGATTACAACAGACAAACGGACTGGGCTAACTCGTCTTAGAATTTTACGCTGATCAAGAATATATATACTTTGTGGAATCTAACATGAGTATTTCGAGGAGTTACAAACAAAATGACGAACTTAATATACCTTCCATACTATGTATGGTGTAGGGTATAAAAACAAAGTTAAAAATTATCACAATTCAAAAAAGGACAAAAACTAATTGCAATTTTATAAACGGAGCATCCACAGTTGGCTAAGAGCTACATAAAAGCTCCAGATGCCAAACAAACCACCAATGATTTGTGGGCACGATTGATAAAAATTTTAAATGTCCACCAATTAGTTATGTGGTCGGTTGGAAAAAGGTAAGTAATACATAGTTTACTCATACATGTAAATACATTTTTCTCTTAAGGTTTGGGCGGATCATAAGACAGAAAAAATTTAAGATTTACTGCAAATGAGGCAGGCGGTTGATGGTATGAATGGGGTGCGAAAATTTGGTGCAAACAATAGAACCCCCATTGTTGGCAACTAGTATCGGCAGTAGCAATGCCGAGCAGAATGTGGCGCATAGGTGCAATACAAAAGACGACAAGTAGACATAAAAGAAAAAACAAGTAAAAAAGCTGTAAGTTCGGCTGGCCGAACTTTGAAAACCTTCACTATTTGCAACGAATGTGGCAATTTAAAAAAATAAAATCCGTTAAAAATTCTAGTAAAATCTTAGAAATATCGAATGTAGCCCTTATATTAGGGTCTATACGACGACGTGGACCTGCATAGGCAACTTTTGTCATAAGCCATTACAACATTCAAATGTGAAACTTGAAAAAAAAAATCGGTGAATCATGTAGCTAAAATCATCAAAATACCGAATATAGGGGGGTACCGTTATATGGAGGCTATACGAAGACGTGGACTTCACAGACAATTTTCTGTCATAGGCTGTAGTATTCATTACGAATTTCAAATACGAAATTTGAAACAATTCTGGTGAATAATGTCGCTAAAATCATCAATATACCGAATATCGGGAGGCACCATTATATGAGGACTATACGAAGACGTGGATCTGCACAATTTTCTGTCTTAGACTGTAGTATCCATTATGAACTTCAAATACCAAATTTGAAACAATTCCGGTGAATAATGCCGCTAAAATCATCTAAATACTGCATATCGGGAGGTACCGTTATATGGGGGCTATTCCAAAACGTGGACCCACATGGGCCATTTTCAATACCAAAAGTCCTGCAGACATAATATAAATTTGAGTAATTTCCACAGAGTAATTTCTAGAGTGATTTCCACAGACGGACATCGCTAGGTTAGGTTAAAGGATGCGCGGTTGTATAAACAACCACTCCACTCGAAGACCTATTGGTCCATTGTGTTCATCCTAATTTGAGAAGATAGGAGAATAAAATAGAGAGAAGAGAAGGAAATGAATAACGGATAGTGAAGAAGCGAGAATCTGATTAAAGAATATAGATGTTAGTAGGTTTGTATCGACGGTGTATCAGCGTGTCGTCCTTAGCCATTTTAGTCTTCTTGCTAACTGAAGAATGACAGTTGGCTCGATGTCGGAGCCAGTAGCGCCTGTCTCACTCCTGTAAGAGTTGGGCAGAGTAAGTGCTCCTCCGCCTCAGTTTCTTCCTCGTCTTGACAAAGCCTGCAGTATTCAGTGTCATAAATCTACCCCCCCCCCCCCCCCCATTTGGATGTCATGGCCTTTATTGTCGTTTTTTGTTATTTTCCAGGAATAAACCTAAACTCGACTGGCTCCCAAATGACAAGACTGGCAGGATTTCGGCAAAATAAAAAGCTGCGTTTATTTGGTTTGTTTGTTTACAAATAGTGAGTTTAGTTGTCGTTGTTTATTCTCTGTAAGAATTTTAAAAATTTAACAAAAATTAAGTTTACAAACAAAATAAAAATATTTAATTTAAAAACAATAAAAATTAACACGACTTACAGTACGTTTACATATAAATGGGTTAACCCACTGGATTTGGATTAAAATTGTCATATCCATTACTTATACTTCAAATAAATCCTCTTGAAGTAGGTTAACCCTGCAAAAAGTTCTAACGTAAACATAGCATTACTTATTTTTGGGTTCTGGTTCTGGCCAGAAGGGCCTATTTATATAAAAAGTGACATTAAGCAAAACAACAAAAATAAACAAAATGAAGATGTTGGCTTAAATTTAGTTTCGTCTCCCTCTTCGCTTGGGATATTTCGGCCATTTATGACAGTGGCATTTCAAATTTGGCTACACTTTTTTAGCTTTGGTAATTGCAGGGTTACCATCTCCAACATCCCCACCCCCGTGAACTGACCCAGAGGGGGAGGCTTCACCAACTCCGTCTCCAGCCGCTTCCACGTCCAAAATGGCAAGTTTGGACACAGGTCTGTGGTATACACCGGCACTCGTTCTCACCTTGGCTGATCGTGCCACTCCGTCTTTGCCCCTGAATACTTCGATGACTCGTCCACGTCTCCATTGACTCCGAGCCATCTCTGGATCACAAACAAACACAAGGCAACCAACGACCGAGAAGGAAGACACCATTTTGTTCTTCGAGTTAATTCTGGAAGATATTCCCGAAGCCACTGATGCCACATGCCATTCTTCAAATTTTGGGTGACGCGCCACTGCTTCATTAAACACATCAGTCTAGGCTCAAACGGTGCTGGAGTCTGGGTTGAATTGGTACATCCAAGCAGAAAGTGGTTTGGAGTCAATGGATCTGGGTCTTCTGGAGTAACTGGCAAATGTGTAAGTGGCCTGCTGTTGACCATATTATCCGCTTCAATCAGGAACGCTTGTAGAGTCTCCAGTTTTGGGGCTTGCTCCTTTAGCATGATGTAAAGAGCCTTCTTAACAGATTGGACAAGACGCTCCCATACTCCGCCTTCGCTGGGATTCACTGGCGTATTGTAGACCCATTTTATTCCAAGAGCTGTCAGACCAGAAGAAACGGAATTAGTGTCTAAAAAATTGGTTATACCTTGCAGCTCCTTTGCTATGCCAACGAAATTTGTCCCATTGTCGCTTCTTATCATCTCTGGGACGCCTCTTCGATTGATGAAGTTCCGAATACACATTAGGCAGGAATCACTCGACAGGTCTGTTGCAATTTCCAAGTGGACAGCGCGAACTGTAAGGCATGTAAACAGTGCCACCCACCTCTTTTCTCGTTGTCTCCGGATTGACACTGTTACAGGACCAAAATAGTCAAGTCCTGTGTAGGTAAAGGCTCTGACATAAGGTGTCACACGTTCCAAGGGTAACGGGGCCATTTGTGGTTGAATTGGTTTGGCCCTACGAATCTTGCAGACAAGACATCGGGACTGAACGCTTCTTAGAAGTTGACGAAGTGACGGAATCCAAAATCGCAGACGAATTTCGCTCATTGTAGTGGCAATTTATGTGACAAAAACGAGAATGGTAAAATTCCACCAGCAAAAATGTAAAACGATGACCTTTGTGTAGAATTATTGGTCGTCTGGTATCCAGGGACAAAAAAGCAGCATTTTCTATTCTTCCAGATACCCGAAGCAAACCATCACTTCCAATTTGTGGATTTAAAGACTTTATGGAGCTGATAGCAGACACTGATCCAGTTCTCTGTATGCCAAGGATTTCATCCCCATATACTTCTTGCTGTACGCAGCGACAGAGATACATTTCTGCCCGTGCTTCTTCTTCCACCGTCAAATCACCCGACACCACTGATTTCCTCTTCATATTTTCAACGAATCGGAATGTCCACGCCATTGCCCGTTTCAGCCTACGATAACTTGAAAATCTATTAATATCTGGAATACAAAAACATACCTGGCAAGCCACCAAAACTTTGTATTTGTTTCTTAGCTCTGTTTTGCTGTGATCCACACAGGTTCCAGAATCGGTGTCACATTTACCTTGGTACCCAATGTCTCCACGTCGAAATATTGCCGCATCATGGTATGCATTTCCTTAAGCAAGTCACAATTTTCTTCCTCGAAACGTTTCCTAACGTGTAAAGCCCGCTTAAGATTGGAACTCTTCTCGCCTGGGATCGGTCCATAAATTACGGCGCCTAATCTCGTTAGGGTAATGATTGGTCCAACATCGGTCATCATACGAGGAGCTTCCAAGGGAACTGTTAAAAATGAATGTTGCAAGCTTAATATTAGTTTAGGTTGTACATTCGAATAATCCCGGAATGGGATTTCGGCGATTTGGTCGATTTCAAGGGATTTAATTAAATGAGCCAGATGGCAACTCTGTATTGGCAA